TAAAGAAGGCAAATGGCGATTATCGCTTTTGTTTTGATGGAAGGAAACTCAACTCTCTCACAAAAAAGGATAGCTATCCTCTACCAGTTGTAGATAGAATTTTGTCGCTTTTGGGGAATGCTAACTATATCTCTTCAGTCGATCTTCGTAGCGCATTTTGGCAGATACCCTTGGATCAGGCTTCAAAAGAGAAAACTGCATTTTCGGTACCAGGGAGAGGGTTGTTTCACTTCAACGTCATGCCTTTTGGTTTGTCTAATGCTGCCCAATGTCAACAGAGGTTGATGGACGCTTTGTTCGGTCCAGAAATGGAACCGAATGTTTTTGTATATCTGGACGACGCAATAATTATTAGTTCAAGTTTTGAAGAACATATCACTTTATTAGGAGAAGTTGCAAAACGGTTGAGTAATGCCAATTTGACAGTCAATATTGATAAATGCGAGTTTTTCAAGTCATCTCTTAAATATTTAGGATTTATAGTCGACAAGTATGGACTACGGACAGATCCATTGAAGGTTATGGCTATGGTTGAGTTTCCACAACCAAGAAATACCACTGAAATCAAAAGATTTGCGGGGTTATGTAGCTATTACCGTAGGTTCATACCACACTTTTCATCATTAATGTCTCCTATCAATAACTTATTGAAAAATAAGAGAAAAGGACAAAAAATAACTTGGAACGCTGAGTCAGAAAAGGCATTTCGTGAAGTGAAACAGGCGTTGGTTTCCGCTCCTGTGCTGACAACTGCAAATTTCAACTTACCTTTCGTTATCCAATGCGATGCCTCCGATACTGGGTTGGGGTGCGTGTTAACTCAATGTCAGGACGGTCAAGAAAAAGTAATAGCTTACGCCTCTAGGACTTTATCCAGATGTGAACGTAATTATAGTGCTACTGAGAAAGAGTGCCTTGCTTGCATTTTTGCGAGCGAAAAATTTCGTCCATATATTGAGGGAGTAAAGTTTACCATTATCACTGACCATGCATCACTTAAATATCTGTTTAACATGAAAAGCCCAACAGGAAGATTGGCTCGTTGGAGCGTTAGGCTAAGTCAATTTGATTTTGAAATTGCCTATAGGCAAGGGAAACTTAACGTAGTTCCTGATGCACTTTCAAGGAGCCCTATTAATCAGGAGATTGATGAACCAATATCCAGTGATGATATTTGTGCTATAAATTTAGATGAGGTTAGTAAAGCAAATTCTCTTAATATTGATTTAACCAACTTAGACTCCTTTTATGTTAAAATGAGGTCAAAAATATTGGAACACCCTGACAAATACCCTCAATGGGCTGTCAAGGACGGTTATGTTTATAAGTTAGTACCATCTAAAGTTTCATTGGATACCAAGTGTTCCGACTGGAAGTTGTTGGTGCCAAAGAAGCAACGTTCATCCATTATATCTTCTTGCCATGATGTCAGTACAGCTGCACACGCTGGATATCTCAAAACCTATTCTAGAGTCATACTTACCTATTATTGGCCTAAAATGCGGCAAAATATTAACCAGTATGTAAAATCTTGTGAAATGTGCGCATCACAAAAGTCACCAAACCACGCCAAATTTGGGTTGATGGGTTCACAGCGTAGTGTTAGATTTCCATGGCAGGTTATTGCAATGGATTTGATGGGCCCGCTTCCCCGGAGTTCCAACGGTTATCAATACATATTAGTCGTCTCTGATTGGTTCACCAAATATCCTTTGATATGTCCATTACGTAACGCTACTTCTAGCAGTATCATTAAATTTTTAGAGAATGAAGTATTCTTAGTATATGGCACACCACAACAGATTGTGTGTGATAATGGTAAACAGCTAGTAAGTAAAGCTATTAAAAAACTTGTTCAGGATTACGGGTCAAATTTTAGATATACTCCATACTATCATCCCCAGGCGAACTATGTCGAACGATCAAATCGTACAATTTGCACGGCTATAAGATGTTATGTTAACGGTAACCATAAATCGTGGGATAAAGAATTACCTAAAATTGCATACTCTATGAGGACCGCCATTCACGAGACAACAGGCTATAGCCCAGCATTTCTTAATTTTGGACGTGAAGTTCCATGCTCAGGGAAGTACTATGGGGATGGTAATGTGGATATTTTTGATTTAGGTGATAGAGAAAGATGGGTTCAAAATTTAGGCAATTTATCTGAAATTTTCAAAGATGTCCAATCTAAACTAACCTCTGCATATCAAAGGAATGCAAGGTATTATAATTTGCGTAGAAGGGACATGGAATTCTTTGTGGGTGATAAAGTATGGAAAAGGAATTATGTTCTTTCTGATGCTGCAAACAATTTTGCTAAAAAGTTAGCGCCGCGTTACGTTCTTTGCACTGTAGCGAAGAAAAAATCGAAACTTGTATATGTACTCAAGAATGAGGACGGTACAAATGCAGGAGTATGGCACATACAGGATTTAAAACCTTATGATGAGTCTGAATTTTCTTCGGTCGATACTGATGATGAGTTAGAAGAAAATAGTCGAAACGACGTTTGATCCAAGGGTTATCTGTTGCCGGGAAGCACCTCCCAGGGGGTTTTGTAAATAGTAGGGTAGGAGTAATGTTAGGATCTCATCATTAGGAATAGTGTTAGGTGAGGCCTAGGTTAGTTTATCATTCAAATCGAGCTCGATTCTCATCTCACCATACATAAAATATAACTGTACTAGGATTGTCCCCAATTAAAATAGACATGTACCTACATGCCTATTTTTTTCGTCGGAAGGGGGTGAATGTAACATGTAATTTTCCTTTTTTACCTTTATTATATGGGTTTGTTATTAAGTTAACCAAGAGTAACACCCAGTATATTATGATGATGTAAGATACTCAATAGATTATGTGACTGCAACACTTTACATTTTGTTATGGCAGGTGGATTGAATATCCTGTTGGCGTTGGACCTCTTGTAAGCTGAACTTGAAGATTCCTTTGTCTTCCTGGTGTGACTGTCTATTAGTTTCAGGGTTGTATTTTTCAGGTGTCCATAGCAGTGGTGTTGATCTGTCCTTCTTCCTAGCTGTAATGATAAACGATTTACATTTCTAGTTGCTGTTGACTGATTGAATGGATAGAAGTTGAAATGCACAGTTTGACGAACCTGTTGGAAATTAATATGTCCTTGCTGTTTTCAATTTAATTATGGATCCACAGGAAGTTACATTTGAAGTAGTTGTAATTGTTTATATTCATATTTCAGTTTCAGTCTGACAGTTTAATTGGTTATGTGAATTGTTGGGTTATTTCGCTTCGTCCATAGCCTTTGTGAATTTATAACCTTCTTATTTTATTTTCGGCCTGCTGGCAACATTTTTGGTTGGACCAATGTTACTATAGTTCTGTGTCAGACCTAACTTCACAATTCTTTAAAAACGGGCAAAGGCCCATTAGGACATTTTTCTTAAATAATCTAGGTATTTCAATATTCTCTGTTGGTAATATTTATCAACTAGTCAAGATTCCAACTGTACTTGCGCAGTGAATTATTTCTAATTCGAAAGATGTTTTTATAAACGGTTTTGTTTTCTGAGTGCACAGGAAACTCTTGAAATTTCTTGATTTCCTTCTTCTCTACCGAGAGTAGGCAAGATGGGCACGAATTTTGCCATTTTCCATCCAACCTTTGTGGGGTTTGAGACCCTTATTTTCGGCCATTCCAGACGGAAGGTGAGCATTTTTAGAGTCCATAAACCTATTCAATGTCTTCAATTTGGTATATTTCCAACAGATTTATTGGCCTTTTCATGGTGGTTGTCCTGGTGGGACGCCATCGCCATAGCGTGCTAGCCTGTTGCTAGTAGTAGCCTCCGGAATTTTGGAACTTTCCTCTTGATCCCATCCTGAGCCATCTATGATGCCACAAGGTGACTAGAAAGTCTCCACTTCAAGATAGTGTGCTGTTGGGGCCACTTCTCATTTTTGGGGCTATTCTCTTGATCCCACCTTGTTGTGCCGTCCATGATGTCGAAGGATGACTAGGAAGTCCAGGAAACCTTTTTTTTTAACTGCACCGGCTAAAGTTTGGAGTTGAAGTTGGAGTTCACTGGCAGGGAAGGACAGAGCAGCACCACATGCTCCGCAGACACTAAGGTCAGATCAATTTTGATTATATTTTTGTTCCTGATGATCCAGTAGTGCGCAGCACCAAGTTGAACCACTATTCAAGTCTTACTACTCGTAACAACAGTTTTAATTTTATATTTGAAATACCACTTAACTAAATCATAATGGGAGTCCAGTCATTCTGTGAACCGGAAATATAGGCCTATATAGAAGGGGAATATCTTGAGATATCTACATTTTTGTTCTGCTTAAGCATTTAACTTATACAACACTGAGGAAGTGATTTAATCATTTTTCTGCACAGTAAGGTGTTACTGAAGGTATAATTGAAATTGTGTGTCACATGAACCTGCTTCAAACATCTAAAGAATTATATTTCTCTGGTACAGTTATTTGGTGTTTCATTAGATTTTCAAATTCTATCCTCAATATTAAATTTTCTTAGTTTTCCTACTACTGAAAACTGAGTGGCGCCTGGCAAAAGGTCCCTAAAAATACATAACTTCTTGAATCCACAGCCTGCTCCCAAACAACAGAGCTGCCGCGCCTATAACACAACTACACACTAGTCTTGCAATTTACTATTTATTATACAACATCCATAAAATAGCAAGAAAGCGTTATATTGGGGCAATCGTAAACATCGTGTATGTCGTAAATATGAGTCCTGTTCAACTTTATAGGGGGTATTTGTGAACATAGAACAAAACCGATGTGATTTCGTTCTTGAACTGATGATATTTCGACTAATGTTTACAATTCCCCCAAGGATATTAAAACAAAATACTTTGCAAGAAATGGATTTATTCTACTCGTAAGTACAAAGGTTTGATTAGGTTATGTCTACTGTTTTTCGAAATTGTCTACTTTTCCAGAAAATGAGTAAATCACTTTACGTCCCAGAAATTTTGTACTGGGTTTAGGAAGAATAGCAGCCACTTCATCAATTGTGATGTAAGATACGTTCATCTCGTTGATGTAGAAGTCAGAACAGGTTTTGTCGATCGACTTGAGCCCTACAATGGCAATTTCACCATCATCTTCATCTTCATTTTGAACCACACAAACATATTTATATTGAATGGAGCTTTTGCCTATCCCAGTGAATTTGGCTAGAATGAAAGTGTCTTCCTGTAAGTCGTCCCACTTCACCTCTCCATAAACCACAGATTTCAATAATTTCGATGATTTTTCATTGATCAACGTGATCAGTGGTAAATCTTCGTCGTCTCTCTCATATTCTGCGAATAAATGTATGTCTTCCTCACTTTCAGTATCAGATGGAGTGAATTTCAATTTTTTTTTTCCCTTTTTTTGTACCTTTACTCTTTTCCATCTTTCGAGGCCTCTTGGCCACATTTCCTTTGACTTTCTTTTTTTCCTCAGCTTCCTCAAGCTTCCTCAGAACTTCAGGAGTTGTCAAGACTTCTCCGTAAGTAGACTGTCTCAAACGTGGAACGACTTTTCTTCTAGTGGCACTCTCAAGAACATCTGACGCAGTATTATTACATGCTTCCTGCAATTTTTGACTGAATATCTGAAGAATGCGGTTCGGAGTAGGGTGTTGGGAAACAACTTGTGAATTTGAAGGCGCCTTCTCTGGAGTCATCTCCGGTTGAGCCTTTTTAGGGTATGTTGCAGGAATAGGACCATTCTGCTCTCTAACCGATGTTTCCGGAGTAGGTTCCATATTCTCAGCACAAGATTGTATTCTCAGGGACGCAGATTTCTCTGGATTCATCACCGGTGGAGTCTTCTTTGGGTATGGTGCAGAAATAGGACCATTCTGCTTTATAACCGATGTTCCTGGAGTAGATTCAATATGTTCAGCAGAAGATTGTATCCTCAAGGATGCAGATTTCTCTGGAGTCATCTTTGGTGTAGTCTTCTTCGGGTATGGTGCAGAAATAAGACCATTCTGCTCTATAACCGAGGTTCCCGGAGTAGGTTCAATATGTTCAGCACAAGATTGTATCCTCAAGGATACAGATTCTTTAATGCTCTGCTTGTACTTTTTCAGTTCTAAGGGATCAAAGAACTTTTCAGAAAACATTGCAGAGTTGACAGGAAATATACCAGTATTTTCAAACCCTGATATAATATTTGCTGCTGTTATACCATCTCTCCAAACTTCGGCTAGCAGCTCCACAAATTTTTGTTTACTTAGCCTACCCGATGATTTGCCCATTTCGGACTTGCCATGGGCTACTAATATTTTGTCCCATTTGATTTTCACGGGGCCGAAAACACACTTGTCCAAAGGCTGTATCCGATCAGTCAAGTGGCTAGGAAATCGAAAGAGTGAGATATTGTTTTGGATAGCAGCATTTACAATGCGAACGCTTACATGACTGCAGTGGCCGTCGAACAGAAGAATAGCTGTCTGATTAGGTTGGTTATTCGTGAGTCTGCGAGCTTTCACCTCGAGAATAAACGATGTCACAAACCAATGGTGAAAGTGAGGCTCCTCCATCCATCCGTTTTTCGATGCTTCGTACAACGTTCCTGGAAATGCCTTTTCGGATGTCCAACGTGCCTGGACCGCCCCCCCTTTGAACACAATGAATGGAGGGAGATAAGTGCCGTCTGCAGCTATGCAGGCCAATACTGTTGTAGACTCTCTTCCTGAGCCCCCCGAAACTCGAGACAGAGCTTTCCCTCTTTCACCAATCGCTCTTACTCTCGAGGGATCACTACTAAATCCAGACTCGTCAGCATTAAAAACGAAATACGATTTATTGGGATGGTTGACTGATTTTTCACTCTTAGATCTTGAACCTTTTGGTAAAAGTCGTAGACCACGAAGGGATCCCTGGCGTCTTTTCGAATCTTTTGTAGGTGTTCAGGCTTCTTAAATGACAAATGTGAATGCCTTTTCATCAATCCCAAATACCAATCATGTGAAAGGTGTTTTCAAATCCATCAATGTAACATATTCGCCAACCAAACTACACAACTCCTTCTCGTCAGCAGGCCAGCCCATTCTAGCACGAGCAATAAGACAATTTGCTAAAGTGTCTTCTACATCAGCAGGTAAGGCAGGCCGGCGCCCTGCTTTCAAAACAGTTATGGGATTTTTTCTACCTTTTATTCTGTGGTAAATGACAGCAATGGGAACATTGTAGGCCTGCTGTGCTTGCCTGAATGTTTTACTTTTAGTCTGCACATCATTCACAGCATTAACAAGATCTGCTTGAGAATATCTTTGACTATGTTTCTGTTTTCTTTGGTAGTTTCTCACCATCGTTAAGCTCAAAGAAAAAAAAAAGAATTGTGTTTACAATTTCCCCAAACAATCAAACATGTTCACAATTCCCCCAAAAATCAGTTTACTATTACCCCAATTTTTATTTTACTGGGGCAATTGTAAACACATGTGAACTGGTCAGTCCGTGATAGATAACCTCAAAATATGCCAATGAGCTATTAGTTTACTTTTAATCAATACAGATATAACACAGCTTACCTTGACCAATTTCTACTTTGTTTTGCGAAAAAAAGTGATCACTTCGAATCTGCTCAACAACTTTTCATACAGCAAGAACGAAAATATTTTTTTTCAGCTGAACCGGTAGCAAAAACAATCGGTGTAAACAGTGGAATGCGGATGAAGGTTGCAGTGTCGCTGTCGTTGCTCGGCGTCATTCGTAGGCGCCAAATTCAAATGATATTGAACGTGTTCAAGATTGCCCCTGTTTGTGATTACCCCAATTAGCCCTAATAACTTATTCATACTTGAATGGACAGTTTTCTGTCTATAGTTTATCTGGCTCTCTTACGCTTCTTATTCGTTATATCACTCAATTTGGTAGTATCAAAATTGATCAGGGTATTATCCTCAAAATGGTCATTCGATGGATAGCAAGATACTGTTGTTCTTGAAGAGGACGCCGAGGCCTCACTCACAGTATCAAGACTTTGATATTGCACTGAAATTGTTTGTATTATAATTTAGTAGGATACTAAATACCTTTACGAATCACTTATATTTTCATAATCTGCCGAATTAGAAGAAACACATTCAATAATGAATGGATTGAATCAGTTTCGTAACAATTTTTTCCACAGATAGGTACATAATTGTATATTTTCTTTATTATTTTCGAGTCTAAATCATATCTGGCAAAAACATCAACTATATAACATAATGTTTATCTACTTAGTACATAGGTGTCTGAATTCAATGATAAGCAAATATCATTATTTCTGTCAATAAATTGTCTGAAATTAACGAGACACGGACCCCCGCGAACTATTTTAGTTTGAGTGCCTATAAATTTATTTGTTAAAATTTTTATAACTTTGCTTGACTTCTCCAGGTAAGTACATTTTGAAAATCAAAACAAAGAACGAAAGAACAGTTTAAATAATAAATCGAAGTATGTCAGTTCACGTACAAGATGGACCCAGTAATTAACTGATGAACTAATGAACTATCGAACTAGCAAGTGAAACAGAATATAAGATTAAAAAATAACGATTTGCCATGTATTTCAATATGGTATACCTAATTCTCTATCGAGTGGACTAGACATGTTTGGAGAAATTTCTCTTGGAAACCATAAAAGATAATGGCAATGAAGTACCTATCGAATATATTTTTATTATCTAGAAAAAATTGTGTTCGTAACCCAATGGTAACAATACGTATTCTTCACATTGAAGTATGATATACAGTTCCCACTTCATTAGGAGTTGTTCAATTGTTTTTCTGTTCAGATTTTCAAAATCTCAAGGAAAAAGTGTATCAATAAGGTTCACAATTCTAACTGAAATATTAATGAAGACCCTGTACAATATGGAACGATAATCTTACATGTTTTCGGGATGATTTCCAATACTACACCTCTCTCCGAAAAATTCAAAAATGTTGCCAGGAATTCTGGTCGAATTATAGCCCCAGCAGTGTCATATATTTCGAAATCATCTATGATGTCAGGAAATGCTTGTTTAACTAAAAGTGAAGAAGAAAACCCCATATAAGCAAAACAAAGACATTTGTGAGTTATTTCAAATAGGTAGACCGCCATTAGAGTATTGCCAATAAATGCCCTATTGAATATCTATTCCTACATTTTGTCAACAATTCTGTACTTCGAGAAGATATCGGAATTACTTATGACTTGTATATTATGATGAAGTGTAAATTCTAGATATCCACAAAATATTAGGTAAATAGTATCTACATGAGTATGAATCCCATATAGTTAAAGATGGCGTAAACTCATTAAGAAATATACCCTACCCTGTATACCTCTGACAAAAAAAGCCCCGATCAATAGCGCCGCCATTTATCATCCGATTTTGAAAAACAAAATAGCAAATGAAATGATTCATGAGGTACTACATAGTGGCAATAACAATTTCTTTTTCCAATTTCAACTCGACACCGATTGTCAACTCTTTTTCAAATAGCATTGTATTTTTTTAAAGAGATTTATTTTCTTAATACAATGATGTATTTCACTTGAGGTCTTGCAGACATGATTACAGATTCGAGATTTTTCAAATTTTGGATTTTTTTGTGTCGAAACTTATTATTTATTATTGGTCAAAACGGCTCACGTGTCCCTATCTCAACTTCTGATTGACTATCTATTGACATTTAATTGGAACAAATACAGGGTGGTTCTATTTTCAAGAATTCTGATCACCCTCTATCTGTTCCAATTAAAATGTCCAGTAGATAATGAATCAAAATTTAACACGAGCCGTTTTAACCGATAATGAATTGTTCCTACACAAAACAAACAAAATTTGACAAATCTCGATTTTGAATACCCAATTGCCGCTAGTCCCCAAGAGTGAAACACATCATTGTATTCAGAAAAAAATATGTATCAGAAAGAAAAATTTAAAAATATATGTACAGGGTGATTCACCATAAATGTCCCCCTCCCCCATCTGGCTCACTTATTTCTGAACCGATTTCAAAATTTGAAGGATCATCTGAAATGATTTTTCAGAATCAGAAAATACAGGATGCTCGGAACAAACGATCTATGGGGTACTAGTTGATTTTTTCAAATGAGACACCCTGTATTTCATTGCATTTTTAGATTATCCCTGAAGAGCTGATTTCATCAATTAATCACACTTGGGGTCTAGCTGGAATGATTACAGAGATATAGGGTGTTCAAAATCGACATTTTTCAACTTTAGAATTTTTTTTTGTGTCGAAACTATTCATTATTGGTCAAATAGACTCACATGTCCCTAACTCTATTTTTGATTCACTACCTATCTACTGACATTTAATTGGAACAATACAGGGTGGTTCAAGATTCAGAATTCTGATCACCCTGTATCTATTCCAATTATCAAATGTCAGTAGATAGTTGATCAAAAGTTAGGATTAAGGCATGAAAGCCTTTTTGACCGGTAATGTAGGTACGGTTTCGACACAAAAAAATCCTAAAATTGAAAAATCTCGATTTTGAACACTCTATACATATCTCTGTAATCATTAATGCTAGACCCCCAAGTGTGATATATTGATGAAATCAGCTCTTCAGGAAGAATCTAAAAATTTAATGAGATACAGGGCGTTCTATTACAAAAAAACGACTAGTACCCTGTAGATCTTTGTTCCGAGCACCATGTATTTCCTGATGAAGTGGAAAAATATGTTATCAAAAATCATTTCAAATGATTCTTCGAATTTTGAAATCGGTTCAGAAATAAGTGAGCTAGAGGGGGGCACATTTATGGCGAATCACCCTGTAGGTACATACATAGGTACAATGCCATTTGAAAATAAGAAATTGACAATCGGCGTCGTTAGAGTTCAAACTGAAAAAAAAAAAATTCGAATCATTTCATTTGCTTTTTGTTTTTTAAAATCGGATAATAAATAGTGGCGCTAGTCGTTTTTGTCAGTCAGCCTGTATACCTATTTGGAACTCTACTAAGAAATCCTCTGATGGCGACCTACTCCACTGATCGACAGATTATAACAAAAACAAACAGCTCGTGTAACTAAGTACGTGTAACTACCTACCTACGTACTGAGCTACATCGGGGTACTGAGAATCTAATAGACCAATAAGTACCTAACTATTATTTGTTTTAACCTGATATTTTGATGGTGGAAACATCATTCATATGTATCCACTCTAATTTATTCTGATATTTAAGCCTGACAAAATATGAAGGTTGTGGTGGTTGTTGTATTGAGTAATTCGGGTAAAATTGCTGCTACAAACAGTATTAGAAATAAAATATCGATATTAGTTTATGGAGTATTGTCTCACCTCACTGTCCATCGCTGTTAATTTAAATCAAACAGAATTACAAGCCAAACAAAACACTATATAAAGAATTTATTGTCTTCGCTCAGCGACTTACCGCTAATAAATGTGCGCGATAGAGGAATGCAAGGAAATGAAGTGGAGGGAGAACACCGGTCCAAGAAGCGTCCCAACACCACAACCGGCATTTTAAAGTTTTAAAGTTCCCATTCCCAGATGGCGCGTTGGCAGTGTTGCCAGGTGGTAGAAAACACAAAGCCATTACATCTTCATCTAGATTTGATTCATTAATTATCATTCATCTGATTTCTATTATCGTTCACATCTGGAGAGAACCATTATTATATACCTACAAGAATTCATCATAGTATCAAAGATTCGTATGATATAGATACTCAGAAGAATACGAATATCTCTGCCTCTTTATATTGATGTGAATCACCTAGGTACACTCGTCTTCAGAAAACATGTAGCTGCAATAAGAGCGAGTACATCGTCCAACTGCGACATGTTTTCTGAAGACGAGTGTACCTACCATACAAACTTACATACATGCACGTCTTCTCATGGGAACACAATCTATTGAAGTGAATATACGTAGCCTAGTGTAGCAGCGTGGTAGAAGCGTCAGTATCTATTCACGTTGGATTGCCTGTACGTGGGTTCAAATCACTTTAAAAAGTGTTTTAAAAGTGTTTTTAACCGCCAGCTTAGTTGCAAAGCAACCCTCGAAAGTCAGAGACTTGTGTGAGTTAAGAAGACGGAAGACTTGATCGCAGATATTTTTCTGATGGTCGCCTAAGAAAGTGTTTGGAATCACACGTTAAAAGGTGAGGCCCCCGTCATTACACAAGTCACTTGAGAGCAAGGTTTGACAGTGTTGCTTTGTTTTTCTCTTTGTCATATACCTATAACTCGTGAATAAATGACATCGCACTTTTTCCATATTATACTTATTTACCTACGGCCACTATAGAAAGTAGGCAAGAACACACGAAATACAGGATCAGTAAATAGCTCCTTACGCACGGTAAGCAAAATCGCACAGTTTTCATACATTCTGCGAGTATGTCATGATCGCGTGATCGCCGTCGACAGTGTTTGACAACTATAACTGTCACGAACAGAAATATTACAAACGAAAGACAAATACACTGAATATCACCGTAGGTAAAGTATAGTACGTAATGCGTGTTGTAAAGCAATTACGCACTCATGGAATTACGCACTCGCCGCTTTGCGGCTGCGTGCGTAACTTTTCCATTCGTGCGTAATATATGCTTCTTACAACACTTATAACGTAATATACTATTATACAGGGTGATTCAAAAGTAAGCGGCATCCTTTCAGAGGCGTATTCCTTGCATGAAAATAAGGCACGTTCTGAATGTCAAAATGATAGTCATTCTGTGACATTCAGAACGTAAACAAAAAGCTGTCAAATCAAGATTACATTACGAAATAACAAAAATCCGTGTACAACACATCACTAAATGGATTTTTTTGTACACGGCGCGACAGGTAGACCACTAGCTTCGCTCGTGTTCCAATATTGACGTCTGATGTGTATATCCAGTATATACCCAATTACTCTCCTTGGTATATACCAGGGCCTACGTAGGCCCTTTGTAAAGGTGTCTTTATTCTGGGGCCCTTACTTTGGCGCTCTGTTCAGGACAGGAGACTACTCTGGTATTTGACAGGGGGGGATTCTCGAGCGCCAGATTTTTGATAAAGGTGATTTACTTCACCTGCTCCTCCCAACTTAGTCGGGAAGGAGGCCCACAGTAGCAACAGTGGAGAAAGGTACAGGAGGTATACCTACCTCGGTACCCACAGTATAATCCAGGGGTCAATGGTATTGAATCGACCTGGAATCAATAAGTAGCCAAGGGAGTGTAGGCTTTAATTACAAACCCTGGGTCTAGCCTGGAATACTGGTTGCTATTTCTGGTCTGGATAATTACAGGAATCAAAGCAGAATATCTCTCAGGTCTTTGGTATTTTAAGGTTAGGTCTGGAAGATTATTTACTCAACTATTTCATCATTTCTACCTGGAGAATCGGAAACACAGTTCTAAACGAATTAAACAGATTCAATTTCTATTTATCTTTCCTTTTCCTTCGATTTTTCCTAATTTTCTAATATCGGATTTTTAGTGAGGTTAATTAATTATATAGTTCATGAAACATAGAACACCGCCTGACGGGATACAAAGCACAGAGACACCGGTGCACAGGACTGGATTTGTCAAGGAAGAGAAGAAGAAGAGTTGTTAACTGGCTTGTCAGTGTCAGTCGTCCGTCAATAATAATATTCTGCAATTTTGACAAACGAAAATATTGAAAATCACTAAATAAATTATTGAACTATTTGGAACTGAAAACAATGACAACAGAGAAGGAAATATGAAATATGCAATCACAAAATCCGTTTATTCAATTTAGAGTTCTGGATTCTTTACACAGGTCGGGTGAGTATCGGTGTGAAAAACAACAGGAATGAAATGAGGCTATAAACAGGATGAATAACACTGGTGAAAAATATACAAACTTACATGTGTAACAGGAAATCACTATACAATACTATTTTACACTGGTTTTGAATGAACTATGAGAGCACTAAAAGATCAGCTTGAGAATCAGGAGCTGGAAGAGCAACGGAGATCAGGTAGTGTAGACTTGTCAAGAAAAGCTTAGAGAGTGTCGAATCCTTGGCTGTCTTCAGTATTTATGCACTGCTTTGGCCTTGGCACAAGGACAAGTAAATCTGGAATCTCATTGGTCAAAACTCCCACCTTGTCATGGCTCATGGCCATGGCCACTGAATCTGTCCTTGAAAAACACATGTGCACCTCCAACACAAAACGCGGAAAAAATAATATTACACCCTAAATGGGCACAGGAACAGGATCTACTACCTTTGCTTATGCTACTGAATGAATTTGGCTGGAAAATATTCAATAACAACAAAGTTATGAGCAGTCAAACATTCATAATTTCAACTTATAAATAATTCAATCAAATTTCATATCATGAGCAAAGGGTTGAAAAATATGGAAGTCTCTAGGGTTGTAATGATGTTCATTAGAGTTTACTATCAGGAAAAGTTTTGTGAAGTCAGGAATCAATGCATTACTCAGCTCTCTCAGGTTTTCAGGTTTCGAGCTTTCGAACAGGTGAAATTCAACTAGAATCAGGCTCAGGTACTTAGATTTTAATCAAAACCAGTCTAGTAATGAAGCTGGTCAAAAATACTTCATTACACACCCCTCGTACTTGCGGAAAAAAAATGGAAGCTCTAGCTTCTATTTTTTTTTTAACTCATTCATCACCAAAATATACACTATATACATTACCAACTATCAACTGGAATACTTATATACAATCCATATATCTAAACAATATCTGGAAATCACCTTACATCCACTCAGGATATCTATAGCAGGACCTAAATGTAAACCATATCTATATACACTATCTGGAATCTTTTCTCACTATTCAGATTATTCACAACAGGATCTGAAACAGTAAAAAGATTAATATATACTCCTATACTTACTATTTACATAAACGTCTGGATTTCTGGACTGGACTAAATCCAGACGTCTCTGGACCAAAGTGTTCTGGAAAATTGTTTGCTTTCCTCTTGCAATTTTTCCTTTGATGGCCAGGATTTCCACATTTCCAACAAATCCTCACTTCTGCAAAGTAGGAATAATGGGAGACAGAACTAGGCAAGTTTGAAGCAGAGGCGGGTCGGACTGCTTCAAAACTAGAATTCCGGAAACAGGACTCGTCGGAATTCATAGCTGCGGATGCCTTTTTCTGTTTCCAAGCTGGATAACGGGACGATAGGAAATTGTCCGGACCTAATTTCCTATTTCTGTTCCTGGAACACTTTCGCGTTAAGCCTATATTAGTACCGGTCTCTGTAATGATTTCTGTCACTCCATTGACAGTCTGGACATCATTACAGAACCTAAATTCCATCTGGGCTGGAATTTCTGGAAAATCTGGAATTTCTGGAAAATCTGGACTTTCTGGAAAATCTGGATTGTCTGTACATCCTGTACCAACAGGATAGTCGGGTGAACGGAGGAAATTCGGATTTCTGGAAAAATCTGGATATTCTGGATCTTCTGGATAATCTGAATTTTCTATCCAATCTGTATCTCCTGGACTTCCCGGATTGTTTAAATTGACGGGACTCCCTGACTGGACTAGATAATCTGGAAAATCTGGATTTTCTGGAATATATGGAAAATCCGGATTATCTGGGACATATGCTCTATGCACATCTTCTGTATCATCAGGATCTACGGAAACATTCCTATTTCCTGAAAAATGTTGTAAATCTGAAATTTCTGGAATATACGGATTAAATGCTGGTTCTGGACAATCTCGATTTTCTACGCCCACTGGATGTGCTGAATATCCCGGATTCCTACTCTCAGGAATTTCTGGATGCTCTGGATACCCTGGATGTTCTGGATAAATAGAATTTTCAGGACTGTCTGGATATTCGGGGAACTCACTGGGTACTGGAGTCTCAGAATTGTCTGGAGGGAGACATACACAATCACGGGATAAAACATACCTCTGGCCACATCTGGAACAAAATATTTTTGGTTGGTGTCTGCAGGCACTTCTCATGTGACCTTGCAGTCCACATCTCCAACAAACAGTCTCACTGTTTTGAAGGCCTATATCTTGTCTTCTCCTCTGGGTATATGTCCTGGAACTAGGTTCTTCATACCTAATCGGTTCTGGACAGAATGACACAGGTGAGGGTGGTGGCAGGTAGTGATAACCCTGGTAGGTTTGATATATCTCACATCTCAGGCTTTCATATTCCAGAATTCTAGTGATTAGTGATGGCATATCCTGGAAATCAGTCTTTCTGATGTACAGGCGGTAGTCTGGCAGCAAATTCCGGTATAGCCAAGCCAATTCTTGTGCTTTATCAAGAGTGCCTTGTCTTCGGATCAGTGTCTGCATGTCTATCACATAAT